TGAAATTTTCAGGGAATGTTCCCAGTCCACTTACGACTTAAAGTTATCAAATTCAGCCCCCAGGCGCGCGTAGTTCTCGTGCACGGGCACTTAAATTTTTGGCGAGAAATTACTCATTGAACGGCTGGGTCATTTTCAAAAAACGACCACTAAACGGATATTGTTTATTTTCTTTTATGCAAAATTTACGATAAGTTACGGTATTGAGAGCACAAAGTAGGTGTAAAGAAAAACAACCACTCATGCAGTTAACCCAATTATTTCAAGTCTGGTGCAAAATCGCATGATCGCACCGGCTCGCCTGGTGCGTTCCAGCCTGGGTTTTTTGTTTGTTTTAGCGTTTTACGGTTTCATAGTCTTATCCATCCCTTTGCTTTTAAGTTTCAAACAAATGTTTGATCGTTTGTGAAGGAGTGAAATTATTTAAGAAGCAAAGAACTAAAGCTATGTTCAGGAAATTAATATCTAAATCCTTGCGCAGTAGAAATTTTTACCTCTAACCCTAAACAGATGCACAGATGCCGTCCTTTTCACTGAACTTTCATCCGTCTGATGAGTCTGGCATTCCAGCAAGGCAAGTCACTGCTGCTTCTCCGGTAAAGATCTGTGCAAATAATGAACCACTTCATTGCAGATTTCACAGTTAGTCGTTGAACCCGCCCTTCTCAACATCACAGTTCCTAAAAATTGATGATCACGGTGATGTAATCTTGTTAAATGAGCTGTAACGGTTCGTACGGTGAAAATGAGGAAGGAAATCGCTCCTCAAGTGCACGTAGATATTGCAGATATTTGAGACGGCTGAACCGCAGTACTGCCAAAGCGAAGAATGTCCGAGTACCAAAGCGATCCCAGCTGGCAATACTTGCGTCAGTCTCAGGAACAGGTGAAATTCCATTATTTTAACGAATTAAAACTGTTCCACGACGCTGAAAAGCGCTGCTTTTATGTGAATATGATAATTTGCCCAAATATTTTAGTGTAATTGCCTCTTTTTAGGCTATAGTAGCGACGTCAAAAAAATTCGACTCGAAGAAAAATGTTTGGATACCGGATGCAGAGGAGGGCTTCATTGCGGCCGAAATCAAGTCTGCAAAAGAGGACTTGGTCACCGTTGTCACTTGCACAGGAGTGCAGGTCAATTGCCTTCAAATAATTTCACTTATAAGAGATTCATGTCCGAAGGCAAAATTCTGTCCTTAGCCAAATTCTCCACCTAGAATGAGGGACTTTTCTGTATTTCCCTCTCCTTCGTCACCCCTGTCACCCGCTTTCCCAGGGCAGCAGCATTTTGGTCGATGTTATGACTGAAACAATTCAACTTTCAGAAAACACTGAAAAAAGGCGAAACGCAACAAATGAATCCACCAAAATACGAAAAAACTGAAGACATGGCAAATTTGACATTCCTGAACGATGCCTCTGTGCTATACAATTTGCGTCAGCGTTACTTTTCCATGATGATTTACGTATGCTTTTTTTAGTGCAACATTAACCGATATTACTTTGATTTTTTCTGGTTACTCCACCCAAAAGTGCACTCAACTCACCAGGAGCAGATTAAAAAAGCTCATAAATTTATCTTGGGCAGCTATCTACCCGTATTACTCAAAGTGCCAGTGGAATGCCTTAATGTTATCGAGAAACAGCTGTATCTGAGGCGCCTGCCGTCCGAAAATTTCTTTTGTTAAAGCATCACTTCCACTACTTCTAAATATCTTCAGCTAACTTCAGTTTCTTATACTTCACGATATGTTGAGTTTTATTTTAAAACTGCCTGATTCCTGCCCATATAGCTTACTGGTCAAACTGAATGTTCGTGCTGCCTAGTCCACAACTGAATGTTTTTCTGCCCAATCTGAAAGTATCAGAATGCATTTCCTGCTATATCCTGATGTGCTCATGCCTGATTTTAACTACAAAAAATATCGGATAGTCTTGTAAAAACGGGAATTTTTTATAATTCACAATGTTCTGACCAGAATTTGCGGAATTTTTCCTTAAGAGAGCCAAGTTTCCCTTTTAAGCATAATGCTTACGACGCTTTAGCCTTCCGAACTCGACTAGTCCACAAACTCCAGCGATCTCATACTTGCTTTGAGGGAATGGTTTCGAATCAATCTACTTTATTCTTCTTTATCATAAAGGTCTTGACACTCTTAGATATAAAATCTATGCTGCTGTTAAAGGTATGAGCGTAGTTAAAGGTGTGAGCGTACTTTAGGAGCATTGTTTTTTCGGGGATGGGCATAAAATTTGCGTTGAAAAAAACCAATGAGAAATTTATTTTTTGCGGACATCAATTTTAGCTTTTGTAGGTAAGCCTAGGTAAACTATTTCGAAGTACTTCAGATCCGATCGTTATTCACCAAGTCTGCCTTTTGATTAGTCAAAAAAAAATCGAAGCGTCCAGATCGGTGCAACAATGCAATCGTTGATTGTTTGCGCAAGCAAATCGTGGAAAAATGTGTTGTTGCAGGTATTCTGTAGACACTTGTGTTTATTCGGCTGGGTGATGGGAGACGACATAAGTTTGCGATCTCTGGGCGAGGGTAGGGAGGAGTGATGGGTAGGGGCTTTGAAGGTGCGGGAGAGCGAGGAGGAGGAGCAGCATGGGGAGACGAAGGAATGAGGAGACTGAGTGTACTGTGCTTGAAATTAGATATGTTAGCAATCGAGTGATTTCCCTGGCTTTTCGAAAACGCGAGAGATTCTAGTTTATGTCATAGCTGCTGAATTTACTTATAAATGAAGCGTTAGAAGCATGAAATGCAATATTTTGCAGATGAGGGGTGCAGAGAAAACAGCAAATGTGAGGAGCGTGAAACAGGAATTTAATTTTATTGTTCTAGCAAGTTGTCACTGAGTGAAAACTCTTGATAGATGCTGTTTGCCAGGGAGGAGGGAACTTGCACGGATGAAGCAGTCACAAAACAAAGGTTAAAAAACAAAAAATAAAGAATGAATCATGCCTGGAACACGCATACATCTTTGTCAACAAAGCTGAAGTATCCCGGAGTTTTTACTTACAAAGTAACAATTTAACGTACTTACAAAGTAACAATTTAACGTTCAACAATAGATAAAGTGTCAGCGTGGGGAGTCGCGTCATTCAGCTTCTTCCCAGAAATTTCATATAGAGGATTCATAGCATTCGCACTCCTCTTCCAATCACTTCCATATCTTCCGGTCCTCATCAGCTTGCATAAGCTAAAGCCTGAGGCTAGCTAGTAGTCCGCTCCTGTTAAGTACCTGGATATGCTTGCATCTCTTTGTATACGGAGGTTCGGGGAGAAAAACAAGAGCTAATGACAAAATAATACGCTTACGAAGCAGGTGAGTCTTAATGATTCACCTTATGTCGCCACAAAAATAATCTTACTTTAATTAATCAACAGATTACTTTAATCGGAAGCAATCTTAATTTAATCTCTAAAATAATCTTTAACGTAAACTTACTTTAAATTAATCCTATTTTAATCTAATCTCAGCCTTTTAATTCCTTACTTTCCATACAGAATTATCTGTTGGCAACATACACCATCCTTTCAGGGAATCCCATTTAAGTATGACTTTAGGTTACCACGAATAATTCCACTAGAGCCAGAGCTGTGCTAGAGCGCCATTACCGTATGATTTATGAAGATGCGTCGCTTTGAGCCACACATTCTCTATTTTAACCTACGAAATTCTTTTCTTAACAGTACTGCATAGTCTACGCCGCCTCAAGTTTTTACTAGACCGAACGTCTGACGCAAAAGAAGAACCTGTGCCTGCTGTAATTAAGCGCATTTCCGTTAATATCTTTCTCCCAAGCAGTCAATCTCAGCTAGAAAATGCTGCTCGTCCGTGTGGTCGTAATGCATCCTTCGAATGCTGTCCGGTACAAGTGGTGTCCACTTTCTGTTAGTAGGTCTACGTGTTTCACGCCAAGATTTCACTTTTTGTCCATCTTTAATAACACACTCCACATGACTTATGTGGTCGAAAGTATTACTTTTTATGTGGCTAATATCACCGCAGTGGCATTAAAATAGCACTGCGCCTCTTTTTGAAGCTCCACCAAATAATACACACTCTTGAGTTGAAGATTACGCGAAATTCCTTCCGACTTAACTGTCAACCTTTCTTATGCCTAATTATACCTACTGCAAAATTAGTCCTGCAAAAGCCAGTATTCGTAATATTTTTTTCCGTTTTTCAGAAATAGAAGCGCATCTTAGAGGTGTTAGACTCTCGCAGCATCTTCACTGTTGTGAGAAATGTTACGATGAAGATCTCATTTATCCAAGGAAGCGCAAATGAATGGACTCCTTTTATAACTGATTTTTAAGCTACTTTTCAATCCGCTTCACGGAGTACCGTACTGAGATTATCCATCCACAGTCTGTTAAAAAATAACGACTGTACTGTCTTATGAGCTCTGAAATTAACACTTGGCTTATGTGAACAGCGCTACTTCGCAAATAGCTCGTGTTTGCCCCTTACCTACATCCACACACTTTGCATCATGTTCTCTCTAGAGAAACTTAGAACAACCAGTTAAACACTGTCAAGTGCTTTTTTGCAATCAGTGGAAGAAAAAGTGGGCGTAGTACTGGTTCTCTCTGCACCCTTCCTGTAGCTGCTCCAGAACAAAGCTACACCGTACATCAAGCTTATCTCTATAATTGTTCTTGAGAAGCTGACTAACTGTGAATAGCAAAAAAAGAGCAAAATAGGCGCAAATTTTTAACACATATTTTTCCACCTGGTTTTTGAAAAGAAACATTTTTTCCAATATCCATCACAGGATACTTATGGCGCATCCAGTTAATGAACACTCACAACAGCTTGCTACAAAAATGCATATCTGTTCCCGCCAACTCTTGTCTCTATTTGTGGCTTAATTATTTACCTCAAATTTGAGTTATTAAACTTTGTTATGCAAAAAGTCTGTAAAGATTGCAGAAAAAATTAGGCACATTTATATGAAATTTCCCAGTGTTAATATACTGTCTCTATAATAATTGCAGGAATATTTGAATTTTTCAAATAATTCGTAACAGGGTAACATGCTTACAGACTTATTCCGGTCTGTTTTGTGTGGTTATAAATCCGTACAAACGCCTACCGATTTACACCGAAAGTGTCTGCAAGATGTACATAGGAAAACGACGCACCGAAATGCCACCACATCTTTTTGCCGTTTCGGACGAAGCTTATAGGAACATGATTAACGGTAATTTTCCTAGATTCACACAAAATCAGATCATTCGATGTGCTGAAGTTAAGAGTTTCTGATTCAAGACAAAAGAAGTAGGATATGAAAAAATTTTGTAGATCATGTGAATCAATCGATGCTTATCACTGGGGAATCCGGAGCTGGCAAAACGGAGAACACAAAAAAAGTAATCTCGTATTTTGCCATTGTTGGCTCCACGCACCAACCATCGTAAGTTTTAAAGCACAGAATTATTCGCTTTACCAAAGCCCCAAAGACCTGCTTAGTACCAACCTTTAGCCATGAAACGTTTTGTCCTTGATACCTGAAGGGACCGAATTATCGACTATTATTATTGTTATTATCACTTCCATACAAATTTAAATTAAAATTTTTCGAGACTGCTGAAGCCTTTCCATCATCTACTTGCTTGTGCACTGTCCTCGAAATCCATGACAGCCTGGCAGACGAGCAGATGTAATAGGCACATGCTATCTTTCGGAAAAATTTCCGGGTGCCTCGGCTTCTCATAGAGAATAAGCACGGAGTTTTGGCTTTTGTCTTTGACGGATGCTTCTCATACACGTTCAAACTAATCACTGTTATCACAGAGGCATACTTGCAGCTCCACTAAGGTAAACGATGGTAAGATTTTCAAGAATTTGTCTGTGGCATTTTTTTAATTTAAACAATTGTATTTAGGATATGCGAAGTTGGCATAAACTGGTGTTTTAAAAAGTTTATAGGATGAATGGTTAACAAAAAGCGCGGAAATTTACACAATTATGCATAAAGGTGCTGTTTAGGAAAGGCCAGCTGAATGGAAAAGAACATGCCTCCTTGAAAGATCAAATTGTACGCACCAACCCTGTGCTGGAGGCGTTCGGCAACGCGAAAACAGTACGCAACAATAACTCGTCACGTTTCGGCAAATTTATTCGAATTCATTTCAATATTGGCGGAAAACTTGCTGGAGCCGACATCGAACACTGTTAGTTGTTTAGCAAGGCTTTAGTAACATCATTCGATTTCATCCAACTGGCACAAAAAATAACCGAATATGGTATGGCTAGGGCAAGGACTTAATGTAGTTGCCCCCGGCGTGTGGTTGCATTTCCGTAACATCAGGTTGACAGTATAAGTGGCCCTGTTGCTCTCGACTGATGCAATTCAGGGATGATTTCCTAAATTTGTTGACAGCTAATTTTCGCAGCAGTGAAGTCGTAGCGTTCACAGGCCAATTTTTTCTGAACCGCAGTTAGCGTTAACTAACAAAAATATGCAGGGTTTTAGTTTATAAACGTATTCAAAAAAGAAAGTTTCGTGAAGTCTAAATACTGCATTTGCAGATTTGCTGGAGAAGTCGAGAGTCATCAAGCAAGCACCCGGGGAGCGCTCCTATCACATTTTCTATCAGATTATGTCGGGACAAATTGAAGGATTAAAAGGTATGTTGGAACAAGCGGAATAAGAGTCGCAACAATCCAAATTTTACACTTTTTTGTACAAATCGTGAGCGCAAAAATGCATTTTAGCAAGTCCTTCTTTTGTAATTTTTTGAAACATTATGCCATTATATTCAGTTCAGGTTCGAAAAGCCTTGTATAGACGCACGAAGGGCGTGGAATTCTCCCAGTAATATCAGTAACATGGGGTAGTCATACCCACTTTTCAGGTAATCTCGTTATTCTTAGGTAAGTTGAAAGATCATAATCGAGATCTGTATCTGCCGGGCATTACCACAGTGATTTTTCAACAATTCATCGAGGAGACCCGTATTTTGCTGTTAGTGTTGTGTGCACCTGGTGCTGTTATCATTTTAAAGATGTATGTAAATTGCAGAGAAATTATTCCTAACTCGCAAGATACGCGATTATCACTTAATATCGCAAGCAGAAGTGACCATTGATGGTGTCGATGACAAGGAAGAAATGCAAATGACCGATGTAAGTAGCCCTTCTAGCTTGTCTTTAGCTCTTTCAGCTATGATAACTGTTTCTGTTGGTGATTAACATCAACAAGAATTGTTTGGACACTTAATGTAGGACACCGAATATCACGGTTATGCAGCTCCACTCAACACTGCATTGGCACTTTCATTCTATTAGGGAATTATTATGAAGTGAGCTGTGTAACATTGTTTTTAATTAATCCACAAATGTAACAAGCATTTACATAAAGTATAAGTTTACGGGAATGATTTGCTTCAGGAATCATTTGATATAATGCATTTTGCTGAGCAAGAAAAGCAGGACCTGTATGCCCTGGTGGCTGGCATCATGCATATGGGCGAAATAAAATTCAAGCAGCGACCACGAGAGGAACAAGCGGAATGTGAAAATCAGCAGGGTAATCAGCTGTTAGAATTGCATTTAGCTATTTGAGATTCTAAATTTCAGGAACTTACTCCAGAACATAATAAGTGTTCGGAAGAAAAGCTACCGTCAAAATCTGACTTCTTCAACCAAAACATTTTGCATTTAGGAAAAGCGAAACTTAATCTTTTTTTTAGTGCCTGTCTCCCAGCTGGTTTTGTTCTTTGAATCAGCTTTCTCAGACTGATACAAATAGTATCGTACTACTAAAACAGACATAAACACCACAATGAATTGTTTTTGAAATAACGCGTAATATTTGCAGAAGGCGATCTTGCGTGCAAGTTGTGGTCAGTGGACAGAAATAACTTCATTTCTTCATTGCTGCAGCCTCGTGTTAAAGTTGGTATCGAATGGGTTAACAAGGGCCAGAATCTTGAACAGGTTTGAAGAGTTTTTTTTTGGAATAAGCAAAAAATAAAATTCTTTTAGCAGCGAAATCGCGTGGTACCACATGTGTCAATCAGTGTCGTATCTCCTCTTACTGCAGTGTTTGGAAACCAATTTCGTTCCCTTTTTAACACAAATTTTTGCGCTTTGCGGCAAGTACCAAAACCACATGAATTCGCTTTTTGATAATCACCTAGCTTCCAGTGATAAACAAATTGGAGAAACTTGTTTGGCTTGCTCAATTCAAAAACGTTTTCGCTTTTCGGCTTTGTTGTACTCACGTTTTGCTTGGCAATGTTCTTGTCAAACATCCGGAAAAGAAACAACTGTGTACCTCTGAAATATCCCGTGAAAAATGGGAAATGAAATATCACTTTAGCACTCACTGGCTAATCGTACAAGCCCTTAAAGGCCTGCTTGACAGCCTTGTGTGTAAAGCACTATTGCTACAAAAATTGATCATTACCTAGATCAGCGAATTATGAGCAAAACGAAAAAAAAAATGCTGATTCCAGGTGAACTGGGCAGTCGGAGCGCTGGCAAAAGCGATTTATGCACGGATGTTTGCCTGGTTGATCAGGCGGTGCAACAAAACTCTGGATCCACAAGACCGCAGTCGAGATTATTTCATTGGTGTGCTTGATATTGCCGGCTTTGAAATTTTCGACGTAAGTGAAGCCAATGACTTTTCATTGCAAAAATACGCCGTTAAATTCAGATCCCGAGTACAAGACGCAGTCAAGAGCATAACTAGCGCAACCATGAGTGCCAGGCTTACTGAAAAAGCGAAATTTTGAAGTATTAAATTTAGCTGGGATGCGTAAGATTCTGCTCAAACACAAATTGTCAAACAAAAAAAAGGAACTGCTGTTTTATTAACAAGCACAATTGCCGCTTGGAAGGGAGGGGAGGATTAATTCAAGGTGAGGCCAAATAATAAAAGATGACAGCTTCTTCCTAAAAATCGTCTGCTGATCCAGGCATGCTAGTAGATGATTCGAATGACCAGACAAGAGGATGCTGAAAAGAAAAATGAATTTTAAGCGAATTTTTGAATTCTCTGAAGCAAAAGATTTAGTGGATTTTCGTAAGAACTCTTGTGCAATTATTCAGTTTAACTCGTTCGAGCAATTATGGATTAATTTTGTAAACGAGAAGCTGCAACAGTTTTTCAACCATCACATGTTCGTGCTCGAGCAAGAGGAATATCAGCGTGAAGGAATTCAGTGGAAATTCATTGATTTCGGCTTGGATCTTCAGGCATGCATCGAACTGATCGAAAAGGTTGGTTCGTATCATTTGGCCAGTTCATATTATTAACTTAATTTCACCCACTAACTTCCTGATAACTGGTTTGACTTACGATCCAGGCTAGTTTGAAGAGAATAAGAAGCAAACTTGCCACATGGGGATGCAGGAAATTTTTCGAGAAATACACTTTATATTTACGGCTTATAGTAGTACTTGTTGTGCATTCAGATTGTCTTTCTTTTTTACTACATGTCTTGCAGCCGTTGGGTATCATTTCGATGCTGGACGAGGAATGCATCGTCCCAAAAGCAACTGATTCTACTCTGGCCCAAAAACTCAACGATCAGCATCTCGGCAAGCATCCGAATTTTCAGAAGCCTAAACCGCCAAAAGGCAAACAGGTTTGTATCCAGGCGAAAAAAAAACGTAACCGTCATTAACTAATAAAAGTACTGAATGCTGAAAATGCGTTTTTGTAAAGCTGGGAGTGCTAATGTGTGGAAGTGAATTCACCAGGGAAGAGCTAAAATTTTGATTGGTACTTTATGGACATTAGTATTCGCCCAGTGAATGAGTGGTCTTTTCTCGTCTATATTTGTAGCGTGTGAACACCTATCCCTCATATACCGTTAGATGCTGCTGCAAGAGTGCCGTAACGGATTTCTGATCCAAGCTGTACGAATGAACGGAAAAGAATGTTGGTCATTGTTGTTGAAATCTTATAAAAAAGTTAATATTATTACAACAAAAATTTTAGGCTGATGCGCATCTGGCTATAGTGCATTATGCTGGCACGGTACGTTATAACGTGAGTGATTGGCTCGAGAAGAACAAGGATCCACTAAATGATACGGCAGTGAGTGTCCTGAAAGCAAATACGGGAATGGATCTGATGTCACAGATATGGGAGGATTACAAAACACAAGAAGATATTGCTAATCTTGGCATGTTTCTATTTCATAATGCATTCAAACAATTCCCCTGCTTTAGCCAACCCTGTTTGAGGACAAATCTCCCGAGGAATTTAAGAAATTAACGCTGCAATCAGCAGAAGCTAATTTTTCCGAAACAATTGCTAAATTGTCAAAGTTTATAAAAAATCGAATGAAATCTCTTATTTTTTTACAAAGCATTTGAAAAACCGGACTTTTTTTATCAATAGAAATGTAAAAAAATGTGCTTCACGCCGCTCGGAATTTGCCATAGACAGGTGATTTTTTCTAAAAGGATATCCCAATTACTTTGCCACGCGATTTAAAAATCTGTCCGTTAAAAGTCACCGCCTCCTCATGTCTCCCTATTTGCTGTCTACGAGAAGTGGAGACACCAAGAAGCAACCGACTGGTAGCAGAGTGTACAACAATCATACACACGCCGCGCCGCCGACAGCGCTCTTTGCACAAGGGTTTCTTAGAAACAAACCAATGACGGGTCTGACTCTCCGGCATATGCAAGTTCCGATTTACCATCGAAATGAATGAGCAAATCGTAGAGGAATTGGTTGTCCCACTGGCGGTGTTGAACTCTCGATTCTCAGCATGACAGCAACGCTTATTAGAGCGCGCCATCCATCCGTTAGTGCTTGTACTAAAATACTCAGCATCTGCAGCTGTAAACTACATGCAATTTGCCAAAAGCTACTAAAAGAGAAAGTTTGCAGCAAAAGAAGGAAAAGCGAGTAAAAAGAAAGGTAAATCAGCATCATTTATGACTGTCTCGATGATGTACAGGGAATCGTTGAACAATCTGATGACTATGCTTTATACCACTCATCCACACTTCATCCGGTGCATCATTCCAAACGAAAAAAAGAAATCAGGTACCATGCATTTTCGAAATTTAGCGTAGCTTATTAAGTCGGTTTGAAATTTAAATGTAATGGGCGTTTTCTTGTAGGAGTGATTGAGGCATCACTGGTACTCAATCAGCTTACGTGCAACGGTGTACTTGAAGGCATTCGAATTTGTCGTAAGGGGTTTCCGAACAGAGCCCTACATGCCGATTTTAGACAGAGGTAAAACTCTTTATCATCTATTAGAGACATACGCATCTGTAAAAAGAGAGATACTCTGTTTTTTTTTTCTTTTGTTAATGGAAACTCAGTAACTGTCATTTTGATCGGATTTGGTCAAACTGGCAGGCACTGAGTTTATGTCGCAGGTCACTACATAGTGACAGATGCAAGCTAATTTTTCGCCCAGTACTGGGTTAGAGACGATCTCAGAAGTTCTCTGTCATAGATTTCACAGTTGCGAAGTTGGATTGTCCCAAACAGATACATAGACACATAAAAGTAAATCGCAGACATGATCGTTTTTATTTACTTAAAGAAAAAAAAACACAAAAAGCAGTTTTTGCATACTTACCGTTATGTTCTGCTGCCTTGTCAGATATGGTATCTTGGCCGCTGAAGAAGCAGCTTCCGGAAAGGATGCCAAGCAGTGTGCTGAGCAAATGTGTGCAAAGCTGGAAAAAATCGGGGCTATGAAGCCGGAAGATTATCGCATTGGAAACACAAAGGTTACTGTGACTTGAAAACACCCAAACCGATGTCGTATTCAAAACAGGCGCTTTGTGTCCGGAGGCGAGCGTTAGATAAACGTGGGTTGGGTCGGTACGCACCGACAAGCACAGTACCTCACGTAAAAATTAGGTACTGATGCAAGGGATCAACTGGGGAAATTGAAAACATCATACTGAATCTGGAAAAGAACCTGGTTTTCTTTCATTTTAGTGAGTTTTTATAGTTCTCTGGCTTACCCGATGCACCAGTTATTATTAAAATTAAGCAAATTTACTGCGGTACTTTTGATTGGCTGCAATTCACACCATCATCTTTAAAGCTGGTGACTTTTCTGTTTGCTTTGACCAATGCTGCATTGCTTAGCGGGCAGCCTACTAGTAGTCCTAACGATCGTTCTGTTTCCTGAGGGGATTACTCATAGAAGAACCCGACAAGGATTCAGTCATTTCGAGATGTCACTAGTTTGTGTCGAGCATCACCAGCTTGTCTTGAAGGTTGCCACCTGGACAGTATGATACCTTATCGGCTAAAAATAATAATATACATCAAAAGCCGTTTTGACAAAGAGCATAAAAATCGTGTCACCCCTGTTTCGGACTTTCAGCACTCAACACTTCCAAGCGCTTGAGAGTACAAAATTTTTGGGAAATTAGCAAAATTCAAGTTTTGCAGTAAACAATTTTTGTTTTTCAGGTGTTTTTCAAAGCAGGAATTATGGCACATCTGGAAGATCTTCGGGATGAGGCTTTGTCAGTCATAATCACCAAATTTCAAAATGCATGCAGACATTACTACGCACAGTGCGATTTGCGACGAAGGATTCAGCAGAAGTAATCATTAATGAACGATTATCAATTTTATCAAGTGCAGATTTCAAGCAAGTAGCAGGGCTTCTTTGTGCTTCAATAAATTATCAAAATTATGCCTCAGTGCCTGAATCTAGAAATTATAAACCATTCGCTTTTTGTTTTCTGGCTGCGATAGAGACGGCATTTGTTATACGCTTGAATAAATCTCTTTAATCAATAGAAGCCAAAGTTTTTAACTGTTTCTCTTTCGAAAATCCTTTGAAAAACAAACTGATATAAGCCAGACTATTCCAGTTTGTTTTTCGGGTAATTCTGATAAGGCACCAGTAGCTAGGTACTGTCGAATTACAAAGAGGGATGATTTTCGTCAGGAAAACTTCAAACCTAAATAAGAAACTGAAAAGCTGACTAATTTCTAGAACCCGTAATGTCACCTTGCCAAGCAGACCCCCTAAATACTTGAAAATGCCATTCTGAGCGAAATGCATGCCTCTGGTATTTCAGAGCTGGTACGTTGATTGTACAACGAAATGTGCGCGCATGGTGCACGCTGCGGAACTGGAGCTGGTTCGTGCTGTACGGCCGAGTCAAGCCGCTGATCAAAGGAAGTCGAAAAGTATGGGGCATACGTATTTTTCCAAAATAATAACAGTACCAATAATAATAACAACGATAATAATAACAATAATTATTAATATTATTAATTGTTATTATTATAAAAATATGTGGGTGAGATGAATTATGGGCAAGGCAAAAATGTCCGTCCACAAAACGCTTATGTTTTAATGCGTTATTTAGCAAACGCAAGTGCAAGTTGCATTTTGTGACAGAGGGTCAGCTAAAATAGAGCTGACAGGTAAGGTATGGCTAAAATTGCAAAACGATGTATGGATTATGAGAGGGGATATTTCCCGCGAGTTAATAGATACATTTTTATTGCCGACAGCAAATGTGTTCACGAAATATTAAGAAAAAATTTTAGGATGAAGAATTTGAGGCACTGGAAAAGAAGGTGAAGGAACTGGAGGAGAGTTTCAGTCGGGAAGAGCGACTGCGTAAAGACACCGAATCACAAGTGGCAAAGTTGATGGCCGAGAAGCAGGAGCTTTTCATGGAGCTCGAACACGAAAAAGATATAGTTGCCGAAGGGGAAGAAAAAGCTGCAAAACTTCTTGCGCAAAAAACTGAAATTGAGAAGCAGGTTTGAAATATTTTAAAAACTGCCTATTCAGTACTAATACACTGCAACAAGCGAACACTAAGGCAGCGCCGTACTCTGTTTTTTGAATTTTCTTTGCATACAAATGAGTTTGGCATCTTTTTTTTCCTGCGCAAGAAGGAAAATTCATGGTTTAGTTATGTTTCAAGTTTTCTAAAACTGAAAAAAAGACCACTTATTTATAGCACGCATATATCAACGAACAGCTTACTGACCAGGAGGATAAAAATGCAACTCTGTCAAAAATGAAGAAAAAATTGGAGCAGGACAACGGAGCACTGAAACGTACTATAGCTGAATTGGAATCGACCTGTAAAAAGCTTGAACTCGATAAGCAGGGGAAAGACCAGCAAATACGTTCCTTGCAGGTCATTTTTTTCCAAGATCTGTTCTTAAAGCGAAACCCTCATAATTCACATTTTAGGTACTAAGCTTGTAAATCAAACAGCATTTTCATGCCGTTTCGGATTAATCACTGAATAATGACACGCATCAGAAACTAACACTTACACAGAGCAGTTGCCGCACCAAAGCAGCGATATATCTCATGGGGTGACTGGAAATTAGATATTTCAAAAAATAAAAAAGTAAAAATTTACAATAAATCAGTGAACATAGAAAAAACGGCACTACTGAAACTTGCTTAGCAGCCTGAAATAATAAAGTAAGTATTGACGAATGGTTTCAGGATGAAATAACGTCACAAGATGAAACAATTGCCAAAGTTGCCAGAGAAAAAAAACATCAGGAAGAGGTTGTTCTTTCTGAAATAGCTCAGCATAAATCAATTTTTTGTAAAACGGGATCAGTTTTTTCAAATCTTTTTTGAAGTCAAATAGACGGATGAAAACACTTTTGAAATTGCTCAAGCTTTATTTTCTACATTTCTACATATTTAGATATGTGAAAGTTTTTTTAGCATTGGCTGCTTCCAAAAGCAAAAAATTTTGCGGCGCTTTTTTGGTCAAACTTTTAAATGAATTTTACAGTTTATTATGTTGAAGAAATATTCTTTGTGGTCAGTCTAGGAGAGGGATTTGACTGCCGGACGGCTCAATCCATTTTCATAAAATACTTATCAAAAATACGTGTGATGTACAACCTAGACATCTGCGCGGAGAGCAGCTAAAGCTTGATAAAGCAGGCATTTTTAGCTGTTGATGGCGATTCAGATTAATGACCAGTGTTGTTGCCGGATGACTGATTTATTGCAGATGAATCGCAAGCTTCTTGAAGATATTCAAGCAGAAGAGGATAAGGTGAATCATCTGAATAAAATGCGAAATAAGCTGGAACAAAGCATGGACGAAATTGAGGACAATTTGGAGCGTGAACGGCGAATACGGCAAGACGTTGAGAAAGCAAAGCGAAAAGTTGAGGGAGAGCTAAAAATTGCGCAGGAAAATGCCGAAGAATTTATGAAGTACAAACATCAAACTGAAAATGCACTGAAGAAGTAAGTTTTTGAAAATTGTAGGATTTGAGAATGGTCCGGCAAATGGAGAAATAGGACGCGGACAGAAAATACATATGCAAATACAGTAAAAAAGGTTCAAAAGCGGCTATTACAAAAAAAAAAAAATTGAGCAATGGCTCTAAAAAATGATCACCTGGCAGTATGAGAATCACATTTTGACACTTCCATTGTGGTACTGTTGATACTGCTATTCTCGTTCATGCAGCCCCAGATACCGATTTTTATTGAAGGAAAGATGCCGAATTAGCTGTATTGGCTAGTCAGATGGACGATGAGCAGTCGCTTCTCAGTAAGCTACAACGACAGCTAAAGGAACAAACTGTACGCTGTCAAGAACTTGAAGATGAACTTCAGGCGGAACGTCAAGGAAAGCTTAAGGTTACGTAACCCATTCTTCTCAAAGGTTTCTTTTGCAGAGCCTTTTGAGATCTGTTTCTTTTTTTTTTTCAGTTTGTTTCAGTTGGTATCGCTGTCTGATGAGCACCGCTGATTGTTTTCGACGAATTCGGAAAAAAATATTGATTTTTAGGCTGAAAAGAGTCGAGCAGAAATGCAAACTGAGCTTGAAGAACTTAGTGATCGTCTTGATGAAGCTGGTGGCGCAACTCAGGCGCAAATCGAGCTAAACAAAAAACGTGAAGCGGAATTGTCGAAATTACGCCGAGATTTGGTTAGAGCAAGCTGCACTCGACCACTTGAATTTAATTTCAAATTCTGTTTTTGTCGCTGTACTTTTAAAAAGTGTTAGTGACAGGAGTAATGGCATGTTTATGTTTGAGAGGACTTGTGCTTTGCTCGAATGCTCGGATTAGCATTTTTGACAAAGGAACATTATTTCCTAGCAAAATTCACAACAAGCAATCAAATGTGTTACTCATGCGGATGATTTCAAGGAAGAGGCATCGATAAGTGCGGAAACGGCACTTTCCGGTTTACGCAAAAAACACAACGATGCGGTTGCGGAACTCTCCGAGCAATTGGACTCAGTTCAGAAGGCTCGAGTCAGGTTCAGTCTACTTTCCATTCATATAAAAAACTGTGATGAACAACAACTGCATGGGAAATAATAAACAACCAGGGTTGAAAATTGTTCTGAGGTGAGTACTTCCGCATTCGTTACAGCCACTGTGAGCAAAAATTACTGAACTCAGCAAATACTAGAATTTTCAGTTTGTAGTTCGACCCATGCTTTATTTCAGGGTTGAAAAAGAGAAATCTTCGCTGCAGCGAGAAATAGACGATTTAAGGAATCAGTGTGATATGGAAACTAAGCAACGTCAAAATATGGATCGACTAGCTAAACAGGTTTTTTTTTCGAGAAAAATTTCGGAAAAGCACTTCTGAAAAAAATTTTACCTTTATAAAGCTTCGCTGAAAATGGATTTTCAGTTGGAGTCCCAGCTGACAGAGGTTCAGTTAAAGAGCGACGAACAAGTGCGGCAAATGCAGGAAGCCGTGTCAATCAAAAATAAGCTACAAGTTGAGGCTGGCGACATGAGCAGGTTGTTTTGTAATCGAAAACGCCTTATAAAGTAAAAGCACCATTGTCCGTGTTCCATGTAAGCTTTTGTTTATCCTCTTGCTGCAGAAAACATTGTGTACTGCGAATGCCACTTGTCATCCATCTTTCCTTTTTGCTAGAGTCCCATCACTCATCGTACACCAGAAAAAACATGCTGTCATTTTATATTTCAGCAAAATATGTTTTTGAACATAATACTGAGTTGTGCCCTCGGAAATTTTATTTTGATTTTGGCTGCGAAACCTTTTCAAATGAAGCACTAAGAAAAACCGAATTTGTGATTCGGTCTGAATTCAGTACTCTTTACGAGTAGCTCGTAGCGTATATGACCAAAATACTTCTGCAGTTTGCAGATTTCAGTAAATCAACTATGCAGATTGCTAAAACAAGTAGTAACCTTCTGAAAAGACATTGTGCGGCTTATGAAATTCGATCTGCGAGTTGCGAAATTTTACTGGAATCCGGCTCTTTGATTCTAGTATTCTCTGCAATACCGTCTGAAACCAGGCGCATGTCTTTAAAGTATACGCTATGAGAACTTACTTCCCGAATGTCTTCGCCCTTCATAGGGAGCAAACATGGAGGAGGTTTAGATTTTTGACTCTTTCGGTTAAAGACTTCCTGGGAGGCTTTATGGAAAATAATCTACGAACTGTAAATTCGAAGAAAATTCGTTAGAAATTGCTAGGGAATTAAGTTGTTAGTTGGGATATTAAAACTCTGCAAAAGTCCACAACAATCAAAAATAAGAAAATTACGACCTGCAGATTCTTATTTAAAAAGCACTTTCCTGGCTTCTAACGGTTGTCTTTCCGAATCTGGCTGTTGCTGAAGCGCTAGGAAAGTTCGCAGAGGAAGCGAAAGGATGGAAAGAGGTGAGAGATGAATGGGAGGCATGTTCACATATTGCCCGTTGTATAATTGCCTTACCAGTCAAGCATAGCCTAGGAACGGTTGTCCAAACCTTCCACCTTGAAATATATGTCGGATTTTTGGTATTGATTTAGAATTCATATTTTTTTAGTTTCATTTCTCATGACTGGTAGTGTCAAAAACTTGTTTAAAATTTTACCGCCGTCTCCTCTTAGAATTGTCTAAAACACCTTAAAATCTCCGAAAAGCGCTTTTTCCCCAAAATCGTAGATAGTCACTATTTTAGTTGTCGGAAAGCTACCGATTTTGCTCCTTTATCTCAAAAAATATGAGTTTGGAGACTGTCAAAAAAGTGCTAGTAAATTAAGCCAAATTTAATTAGCAAAACTGATATTAGATTTCAGGGACCAGAAACCTGGCACATTTTTCAAAACAATTTTGATTTTAAAATAAATTTCAGGCAGTTGGAAGATTATGAAAGTCAAATATCATTCTTGAATCGCGTTAAGCAGCAATTAACTTTGCAGCTAGAAGAAGTTAAGCGACAGCTAGAGCAAGAAACACGTGAAAAGCACTCTGTAGTTGCGCAGGTATGCAATTCTAGCAAGAATTCGTGTGGCAGCTTTTACATGCTAGTGCGCTCTGTGGATTCCGTGAATAGTCAAACTCGCTCTCACAAATAGAGGACCAGTTGTTTATTCTCTCTTTTTTCCATGAATAATTCCTTATTTCTAGAAAAATCAATTTTTTTAGCTTTCAAATTTGCAATTGGAATGCCAGCAACTTCGCGATGCCATGGATGAAGAGATGGATAGCAAATCGGAGTTCCAAAGGTTATTGTCGAAAGCGAACGCCGAAGCACAGCAGTGGAGAACACGCTATGAAGGCGAAGGAATGAACAGATCCGAAGAACTCGAAGAAGCCAGGTGAACTACAAACATTTGTCGTTGAATCCTATCAGTGGCTGGAAATGTGAACTGTTCTTGTTGTTATCATAGTGGTGGAGTACCACTACGGTCACCCTACTGATATGGCTGGGCGCGTTTTTTTGGTGCTGTCATTCAGATTCGTTAGTTATTATGCAACTGATATTCCGCCACAGTTTACGCAAGCGCGTTTAGCTCAAACCGCACATAACAGATTACTGCAGAAGTTGACTGAATTATTTGTACAAATATTCGGGTTGGGAATTAATGACTGGTCTACACACCTTTATTCAAAAGCGAGTATGGCAAACCGACCTTCAAATCTCCGTATTCGCTTTCTGTGAGGAGCGGGAGCACTCGGAGGTTGACCGAAAAGTAACAAATACCAGCAGTAGCCACACTCTTTCAAAGGTTGTTTAGAATTGGGCTGGTGACGGTTTCACTTCATAAGCCAGTACCAGTTTACTATCGAAATGAATGAACGGACCGTAAAGGGAGTGGTTGTTCCACCAGCAGAGTGGAATTTCGAATTTTTGGATGACTGCAGTGCTACTTCCCACTATACCGCGTCTATCAACGAGAACATTGAAATCCTATGAAATATTTTAGGGAAATGTTGTAGTTGCATAAGAGATTCTATAAAAATGATGCGCCAAAGCTCATAAGTGGGAACTAATAATATTCGAGAGCAATTCTGACTATAAAATGCTTGTTTTGAGGCGCAAATTGCTGAGTAAAATACAAGAAATGCAAGAAGCACTGGACGCTGCAAATAATCGCATTGGGTCACTGGAAAAGACCCGTGACCGACTGGCTCAAGAACTGGAAGACTCGCAGCTCGACGTCGACAAGGTCAGTGTCCACTACTCCATGTAATGCCAAAATTATCGTTTTTTTGCTTCCCCCACATATTTGGAATAATGCTTTGACCTTTGGTTAATTTCAGGCTAACTGCTTCGCGAATGCGTTGGAGAAAAAGCAGCGCGGATTCGATAAAACAGTTGATGATTGGAAAAGAAAATGTGATGCATTAGCGCAAGAACTGGAAGCAAGCCAGCGTGAAACACGAAATGCATCCACTGAGGCGTTCAGACTACGGGGCAGTCTGGAGGAAGCTGGAGAGCAGGCACAGCAATTAATTTTAGCCTCAAAAACAAAACGAATAATTTGTAAAATCTGTCTTTTTTCATAAAAGAGAAAAGTGCCCAATTAAAAAACTCCGCTTACACTTTTGGCTGTAGTAGTTGCCAAGCTAGTAGGCGGTTTGAGGTTGATAACTTTTGCCGAGCTAGTAGGCGGTTTGAGGTTGATAACTATTGAAGGAGAAGAAGCAGATAAAAACTCTGGTGCAAGCTAATCCTCGATAAATCTATCATCAGCTTCTTGGAAAATCCTAGGAAGATGTGGAACAGGATCTGTTGAAAATACAAAGCCGTCGTCACCCTCCGCATGCTTTTCGCCTTCTGAGAGAACTTAAATATAGGTAATTAGTTTTGAAAACGAATTCATGCCAAGCACTGCCACAGGAAAGATGTGTGGAATAGGACTTTTATTTTGCAACTGTGCAAGTTTGAGGAACGAGGGGTGAGGTGATACATATGGCATCAAGATCCAGAAAAGCCTCAAAGTTGTCTTCGCATTCCTGGGCCTTGACATGACGAATGACCAGTCGATAAAATTTTGCCTTCTTAATCTCCACCGAAGTAAATTATCTAGGCAGTGCTTCAAGTATTAGAAATAACTGTACAATACGCACTTTTTCTGTTTTTTGCGGAGGAGCGTTATAACAAGGACAAAAAAAGTCTGCCTCTGAGAATCTCCAGAACAGATAAGTTTACCATGTTCTAGGCGGAGTCCTTGCGACGAGAGAACAAAATGCTTGCGCAGGAGTTAAAAGATCTTACCGAGCAACTTGGCGAAGGTGGTAAAAATGTGCACGATCTCCAGAAGCAAAAAAGGAGGCTGGAAATGGAAAAAGATGAGCTTCAGGTTTGGCATTTCCTTAAAGCTTGAACCAGTTCTTTTTTTAATGTAAATGATAAATATTACTTAGTATTTGATAAGTAAAATCTGTAGACCCGTTTCCCTTCGCTTTTTTTGACAGTCTCATCCTTCCGAGCTGATTTCGATGTGCTGTTTCCAAATTTATCCAAAAGAGCCGAAAAAAATCGAAAAATTGGATCGAGGAATGCAAAATTTAGCCAAAAGAAACTCACAAGATGCTAAACAAGATGCAGAGCATCTCGTAAGTCTCCTTTTGGTAAATTTTGCATTCTCTGATTCGATTTTTTGATTGTTTTTTCACATGGTCGGTTGCGATGTTCTTTAACAAGACGATAGAATAGCATCAGTCTTGTCTAATTCTGTTGCTCTAAGTACGCTGTTGGATATTCCCTAAATTTCGTAGTAAAATAGCAGAAGGTGACACATTTGCAGCAAGCGCTTGATGATGCGGAAGCTGCCCTGGAAGCTGAAGAGAATAAAGTGCTGCGTGCACAAGTAGAAATCGCACAAGTTCGGTCAGAAATTGAAAAGCGCCTCACCGAGAAGGAAGAAGAATTCGAAAATACACGAAAGAATCATCAGCGAGCGTTGGAGAGCATGCAGGTTTTGTATTTTTACTGCAGTGATTGTAATTGGGAGTAATTTTCTGTCGTTTTTTTACCGGTTCGCATTTTTCAATTTCACGACTTCAAGAGATCAAAGATTTGTTTGAGTAACGATCCACAAAGCTTTGATTTGAACAGGTTGATCCAAGGGGAATTGTTGTGTATGAATATTAGCACTGTTTTGTTTTTGCGCACACTTTGCATACCTCCCACAAAAATCTTGTTTTCTCATTATTAAAAGCGTACGGCGAAAAACATTACTTGTTGATCATATTTTTGTGCGACAAATCTTTCCAGGCTTCCTTGGAGGCGGAATCAAAAGGCAGAAGCGATTTACTACGAATGAAAAAGAAGCTAGAATCTGACATTAGTGTAAGTTTGATTTTATTTTCTGGTCCTATTTTTCACACGCGTCCAAGCCAGACTGAAAGCCTCTCTAGGGGACTTCAATTTAACAAGCGTGCTTGGCAATTAGCTTTTTTCCAAGTATGCTCTGTAAAAAACTACGCTTTTGTTTCATACTGGAAACAAAGAACTTAGCCATAACTTTCGCGAAGCATCCTGATTATGTATTTTGGCTCATTTTAGTTTTTTTTCGACAGTGCTTCTTTTCTCGCAGAAACAATAAAAATTTTGCGCATTTCAAAAATAAATCAAAATTTATTATATTGATCAAAATTTATTAAAAGGTAGAAATTTATTATAATCCAAATCAATTATTTTATGCTGACAGGAACTGGAGATAGCACTGGATCACGCAAATCGTGCAAATGTGGATGCTCAGAAGAATGCGAAACGTTACCAGGATAATGTGCGTGAACTACAGGTAATCGCAATCACACTGCCATTCATCCATTTGCTTGTTTGAGTGCATGCTGTCGCAAATTCAAGCGAATTAGCGTGCGCCTTCCAAATTATTATTATCTTTTTGCAAAACTTAATACCCTGATTAGCTGTTGCTGCGTTGTGCGGTGTATTTTCACGCTATGAGCAGGAAACTATCAGCCGAGCAATTATAGGAATAATCCCGAAAGCCCTAAATATCGCACTTTTTACACAGTGGTAATCATTCGCAGTTCTACCTTAATATTATTTATTATTGTGTTTTTTCCTGTTCGCGATTCATAAACGCGCTGAAAATGCCAGTTAGTAGTAGCTGTTGTTGTTAAACTCAGTATAATGACCAGAACGGAGTTTGGCCATTGAACAGAATTGGTACATCGCTTTTGCAAGTTTTTGCAGGACATGTGTGACCAGTTCGTTCTTTCCTCCATCTCCAGTGGGGCAATCAATTTGTTCATTCGTTCCGATAGTAAATTGGTACTGGCATATGCCAAAGTGTCGTAATCCGTCAATGACTCTCTCTCTCTCAAGATTGCTCAGAGCATATTGGTAAAATATTTTGCGTATCTTCAAAAACACTTTTACAGGCGCAAGTGGAAGATGAACAACGCGAACGCGATGAATTACGTGAACAAATGAGCGTTGTCGAACGACGTATGCAGGCATTGCAGAGCGAAAAGGCGGAATTGGCAGCAGCACTGGAGCAGGTTGCAAAATCACAAGTTTCAGAATGTGAAGAGCCTGAACATGAGCGAACCTCACTAACGCTTGCTCTTGACTTGGTATCCTTGCTTTGCTCTTTCTTCCAATTTTCAGCTGCTGTCATTGCATAAAACTTCGACTAACAAAGATCGACAAATATCAGCAGAGGATTACTGGCAATGAAAATACCGACCTCTTCTTCCGGGCTCTTCAGGATTTCTAAGATTTTTCAAAATTTATTCCAACGTTCCAGCTAATGACGCCAAATACCGCTTGAATTTTAATGTTTTAGCTAACAGAAAGCATGATAATCATCTTTAAAAACTAATCTTTTTTCCAGAGCCATCTCAAACGCCAGTTATTTGCTTCAGACCAGCTTATTTCTCTTCCTTTCATGTATTTACACTTATTTTTCCCAACTCATGTGTTGGATAAATGAAGTTTAGGCGGAAAGAACACGACGACAAGCCGAATTGGAAGCAGCCGATGCAAAAGAAACAGTTAATGCGCTGATACAAAACAATAATTCGTTGTCATCCACGAAACGAAAACTCGAGTCCGACATGCAGGTTGTTTTCTGTGAAATTTTCTTAAAAATTTGAAAAACATAGTACGTGACTGATGGCCGCTTTTGAGTTTTGTATTAGTCCAGTTTTGCAGTCAAGCAACCATATTTTTGACTAAAGAATATGTCTTTAGATTTTGTTAAAAAAGACGTCTTTAGTTGTTGTTTTATGTAGAAAATGTGCAGTAAGGGACGTTCTTCCTCAATTCCCTTATAGAATCTGCACACGGAACTCAATGAAACGCTGAACGAGTTGAAAAACACGGACGAACGATGCAAGAAGGCATCAATGGATGCGGCACGCCTAGCCGAAGAGCTGCAAGCGGAACAAGAGCATTCCCAGAATCTTGAGCGCCAGCGTAAGGCACTCGAGTCACAGATCAAGGTCTTCCATTCCTTTTCGCGTTTTGTGGAAATCTCATCAAATACTGCTGAATAGAATTCATGCGCCTCTGCAACTGATGACAGCCTGCCCACATTCAGGAAACCTTTAGCAGGCCGCTTTGCAAGCAGCCAAATGGGTAATCGGCCAGTTTAGGCTAAACTATAAGCCGCAAGGCTGACCGGTGTGAGACAGTTAGGGAGCATTATGGAGACAGGTGCAGATCAGCGCAATGGATCCAAAATGTATACTGCTGGAAAGATAGCAGATTTGCAAACATACCTTTAGTTTCTCAGAGAAGCCCGAAAGTTGCAGTATTTCACAAGATTTGCAAGCTCTCACTTTTTCATGATTTTTTGCACTACAAATTTCCCAAGTTAGAAGATCACTGAAATGAGCGCTTTCCCATAAACTGGAAATTCCTGTACTAGATCTGCTGTGATCAGGACCAGTATTCTCAAGAAGTGAATTGGTTTTTCACAATTCCACAAGAAGACGGTTCTTACCAACTAAAATGAAAGTTTTTATAGGAAATACAAGCGCGGTTGGATGAGGCGGAGACTACGGCGCTGAAGGGCGGTAAACGAATGCTGGCAAAGCTGGACCAGCGCGTTCGTGACCTGGAAGCGGAATTAGCCGACGAGTGCCGTCGACATGCTGAAACGCTCAAAAATTACCGCAACAAAGATCGCCGAGTTCGAGAACTACAGTTTCAGGTGGATGAGGACAAAAAAGGCGCCGAACGCATGTATGATCTCATCGAAAAGCTGCAAGCTAAAATTAAAACTTACAAACGCCAACTGGAGGAAGCAGTACGTATTTTTTCAAAGCTATTTTGTATGTATATTTTCCATGCACACTAAAAAGGCCAAAAAACTTCATGATGCACTCCAGCCTTCCTCAGTGTGGTGACATATGCTCCCTTACAAATTTTCGAAAAAACACACTGCCGCGTTTGAGTACCAGGATGCGCTACTGTTACGGAAAACCAAACTCTTTTTTATCAGAAATTCTTTTACTGTTCTTTAACCTGATGCTCCTTCTTCGGCAAAAAAAGTCTAAGATCAGCTTATGTCATGAGAAATACGGCAGACATTTTTCGCTATTTTTACATGCATTTATCCGCTAAAAGTTCAACGGGAACGGCAATCATGATTGTGTTTCAGGAACAGCTAGCAACACATAATCTTGGCAAATATCGGCAGCTGCAGCATATGCTTGAAGATGCAGAAGAACGAGCCGATATAGCCGAAAATTCACTGAGCAAAATGCGAGCCAAGAGTCGTTTCGTTGCACAGCCCGTCGTCACACGCATTGTATGCTCCCAAATAATTTTTTAACTCATGTACACCGGTCCTTTAAAAATTCTGAAACAAGTTCTTCTTGGGTTTGATTTTTTGAGGAGTCGGAAAAGTAAGAAAAGAAATTTCAAAACTTATCGAAGGCAGCCAAGTAGCCGTGAGATAAAAAGGAAGTTGAATCATTTTTGGAAGGATCGTAGGAAAAATTGCTATTTATCCTAAGGAAAGTTTTAGTATTTGAACACAGTTCTTTGTTTTATCATCAGGAAAGCAAGACCACCTGGATAATCAGACCGCCTGGGCAATAATGAATGTAATCATAAAAATGACAAAATTTTGCTGAGCTTTCTGAAAAAGCAAGGACTTATACTTTTTCGGGAAAAGAAGAAATCTCTTTTTCTTCTTTCCATATGCTCCCGACTATGATAGTTAATCGAACCGCGATTACGAATAAAATATTAGAAATCGCTTTCTAAATTATTTTTATTTTCATATGTCAAATGCCGGCGCGGGATCTTCTCAGTCTCCTGCTGGAACAGAGGAATCTTGAATATCTGGAATATTACAGCTTCTCATAACGATCAGCTCAACGATAAACTTTGACATGTTTTTTTTTTGCCCGAAGATTGTGTTTCTCACTTTTGCAGTCCCAGTAAATAATTCTATTAACTTTCCTTTTTGGAAATTCTCTTGTTCTCTGAAAAATCACTTTATGTGTATTTGGATGTCATAGGACTAATTGTTTAACTAAAGTTAATAATTATTGCGGGGTGGATGAGTTTAAGACGGATTTAGAAAAACGGCTATATAATTCCCGATTTCAGATTAGGTCAGTTCAAACCCTCGTGTATTACTTTTTTCGGAAGCGTGGGAATTTTTTTGCTTACCAAACAATTTGGCCAAGTTTTTTCATATTCTGATTTCTTTTTCTTATCCTGTAAAAATTTACGACCAATAAGCACGTTTTTACGCGTTTTTGCATGCATGCAAGTACAAAAACGCATATCGGCGAGAAGCTGTCTTTGCACGTGCGTGCGTCTGCGTGTTCGCATTTTTTGTTACCCATTTTCAACTCGAGAACCAGAAAAGCTAGGAAGCTGAAACTTCGGAATCAGGTGCTCGCCGCGTTTGTGACCCTGTCGTTCTAATATTATCATCCGCGTGCGCTTGGATCCCACGTAGCGAAGCCTCAAAAGATATGCAGATTTTTTACCGTAAAAGCAATCTCGGAAACTAGACAAGATACAGAGCTAAAAATTTATGGGTATATTCTCTGTGTATATGTGAGCTGAAGTTTGCAAATTCAGTTTCTGGTTGTGTGTAATTCTCACATACGGGCACTTGGGAGTTTTGGCGGGAAAATTGCTAACCCGGCAGTCAGAAAAGCCGAAAAGTTGAAATTTTAAGGGATGTTCCCCGCCCACATACAACTTAAAGATTTCAAATTAAGATTTCAGGTATGCATGGTGCTCGTGTACCGGCACTTAAAAGCTTTGGCGGGGAACTGCTTACTGAACAGCTAGATCTTTTTCGAAGAACGGTCGTCAAACGGAAATTATTCATTTTCTTTTATGCAAAATTTACGAAAATCTACGCTAGTGGGCGCACAATGTGGGTGTGAAGCAACAACCGTTCAGGCAGTTAACGAGCGATCTGATTATTTCAAGTTTGATGCAAAAACGCGTGGTTGCACTGGTAAGCCTGGTGCGTTCCAGCCTTGGTTTTTTATGCGTTTTTGCTGTGCAGCGCTATAGCAGCGCTATAGCGCTATAGCGCTGCTACAGCCA